CTCTTTCTACAAAGATTTTGGATTTGCTCATAATGATCAAATTATATCTGGACTTGTTTCCACCTTTCCAGTCATCTTCGATACAATTTTTAAATATTGGATCTTCCGTTATTTAAATCGTGTATCTCCGTCACTTGTAGTGATTTATCATTCAATGAATGACTGAAAAATGATCCACCGATCCAATTAGAATTTTGTTATTTTGTCCATAAGTAAAATAAAACATTCAAAATCTTACTTTTTTTTTTTTATACACTTATTTTTTCTATACATCCAAGAGATTCGGATTCCTCCTCTATTTTAGTAAAAATTTTTCAGTAACTAGCAGCATCGTGGATAGGGAACTATCCTAGCGACCTACCTAATTTTATTGTAGAAATTTTCGGGATCAACGATCGGACCATGCAAACTAGAAAGACCCTTTCTTGGATAAAGGAAGAGATTACTCGCTCCATTTCCGTATCGCTCATGATATATATAATAACTGGGGCATACATTTCAAATGCATACCCCATTTTTGCACAGCAGGGTTATGAAAATCCGCGCGAAGCAACTGGTCGTATTGTATGCGCCAATTGTCATTTAGCTAATAAGCCCGTGGGTATTGAGGTTCCACAAGCGGTACTTCCTGATACTGTATTTGAAGCAGTTGTTCGAATTCCTTATGATATGCAACTGAAACAAGTTCTTGCTAATGGTAAAAAGGGAGCTTTGAATGTGGGGGCTGTTCTTATTTTACCCGAGGGGTTTGAATTAGCCCCTCCTGATCGTATTTCGCCAGAGATGAAAGAAAAGATAGGTAATCTGTCTTTTCAGAGTTATCGCCCCGCAAAAAAATATTCTTGTGATAGGTCCCGTTCCTGGTCAAAAATATAGTGAAATCACCTTTCCTATTCTTTCTCCGGACCCTGCTACTAAGAAGGATGCTCACTTCTTAAAATATCCCATATATGTAGGCGGGAACAGGGGAAGGGGTCAGATTTATCCCGATGGGAGCAAGAGTAACAATACGGTTTATAATGCTACAGCAGCGGGTATAGTAAGCAAAATCATACGAAAAGAAAAAGGGGGATACGAAGTAACCATAACAGATGCGCCAGAGGGGCGTCAAGTGATTGATAATATCCCCCCAGGACCAGAACTTCTTGTTTCAGAAGGTGAATCCATCAAACTCGATCAACCATTAACAAGTAATCCTAATGTGGGCGGATTTGGTCAGGGGGACGCAGAAATAGTACTTCAAGACCCATTACGTGTCCAAGGTCTTTTGTTCTTCTTGGCATCTGTTATTTTGGCACAAATCTTTTTGGTTCTTAAAAAGAAACAGTTTGAGAAGGTTCAATTGTCCGAAATGAATTTCTAGATTGTGAATTTATCAACATCAAGTTCTTATCTTTTCTTAATTTCTTAAAAAGAAGAAAATTTTTGTTGGAAATTCTGTATGATAAAAAAAAATTATGAAAAGACTTTTGTTTTGCTTTTGTTTCTATTTTTTTTATACCGGATTAGGGGAATTACTTGTACCCCATTTCTATATTTAGTATGTATATTGGTAAGAAGACTATTTGACTTTATCCCCTCTTTTTTTTTTTAATCTAAATTGGAGTGGTGCGATTATGTCACTATTCACAGATTTAGCTGTGATACAATGTATCCATAGCTTTTTTTCTATTCTAATAGAATCAAATTCGACTAGATACTAAGACTAAGCATAAGATAACTAAGCGGAAAAGGTTAAATGAGGGGAACAAAAGATTATAGGAAATATTCTTCTATTTGTCTTTTTAGTCTTCGACACAAGAAAAGGAACTTTCCACACCCCTTTCTTGTGTCGAAAAAATAATGATTCTTGATACCATTCATCAAAGATTCCTATTCTTCATTTCTATTTTTTCCAAGTTTATCATAGCCTGCTTTTCGGTTTTATACGTATAAATTCTATTTTTTATGTAAAAAAAATAACAAAAAAGAAAGGGAAATTTTTTGAGCAAATAGAACTTCTTCAATGAACTTCTAAAAAAATTTTGAGATACTAAAATAAATACTAAAGAGAGTAAGGTTCGATTAGTATAGAAAAATTGGCATGATATCGGATCGACAGAAAACAAAAAAAAATAGAAATATAGAATATATATTATATGTGATCCAGGAAAAGGAAATTGAGCAATTCCTTCTTTCTTCTAACAGTATTGATAGATAAGATACTATCGAGGAAAAAATATTCTGAATCAATTAATGAAGTTACTTTTTTACAAGCACCACCCAGAAAAAAGTGTAATGGAGTTTTTTTGAAATATTTGAAATATCAGAAGAATGGAATCCATAAAATGGAATTCATTTTGTAATAAAGTATTATGATTATTAAGAACTCAGCGGCGCCCCCTTTTTCTGTCTGATTCGACGGGGGTGCCATTGAGTTCTTACGCTTTCATGTCTACAACTCAGTTCATCCTATTACTACAAGGATGAACCCAATCCGGAATAGGAGCCATAAAAGAAAATACCTATTAAACCGATCACAGGAATACCAGTTACAGTACCTATTATCCAAAGAGGAATCCTTCCAGTAGTATCGGCCATTTATCCCACTTCCCTCCACATTTAATCAAGTGGTCCTGCTAGAGACATGAACAGTCATAGATAATTATGTGATGATATCCTTCCGACGAGATAAGAGAATTTCCTCTCTTATTTATTATTCTAATACTCTCTTTTCCTTTTTTAATTCAATTTTTTAATTAAATATTAATTAAAGAAATAATTAGAAAATAAAACAGCAAGTACAAAAATGAGTAATAACCCCCAGTAGAGACTGGTACGATTCAATTCAACGTTTTGTTCGTTCGGGTTTGATTGTGTCATAGCTCTATAATTAATTCAGATTAGGTTTATCGTTGGATGAACTGCATTGCTGATATTGACCCCAAAAAAGAAACGGTAGGTACAGCTAGTCCGTGAACAGCAAGCCATCGCACTGTAAAAATTGGATAGGTTCGATCTATAGTCATTGGGCCCTCCTAACCTAAAAAGATCTACTAAATTCATCAAGTTGTTCCAAAGGATCAAAACGGCCAGTTATTAAGGGAATTCCTTGTCGGCTCTCTGTAAAATATTCATTTGGACGAGGGCTTCCAAATACATCATAAGCTAAACCTGTGCTGACGAATAGCCAACCTGCAATGAATAGGGAAGGTATAGTAATGCTATGAATGACCCAATATCGAATACTGGTAATAATATCAGCAAAAGAACGTTCTCCTGTGCTTCCAGACATGTGAGCTCCACATATTCTTGTACAGTCAAAAGGGGATCGATTCCGTAAAAGATGAGATCAGTAAACGAAAATTCACTGAAATTAAATCTTTGTGAGATCGTCAATATCGTACCGAGGGTTTCTTTAAAGTATACCAAATCAGTATAGCTATCCTTCTTCTGACGCAGCAACGCAACTCCAATCAGTATCGAAACGAAGTCCTATATAATTTCTTTAGTCTTTTCTTTTTCTTATCACTGTAGAACCGTGTACCATAGATTAGAGAAAAATGTGAATTTGACGGGTTGTTTTCTAATAATAAGAATTCCTAAAAGATATTAGCCTATTCCAAAAATTCACAATTCAATTAGATGCGAAATCTAAAAACCTCCCCTTCGTACTTGTAGAATAAGAGTTTTTTGTTGAAATCCTTTTTTCATTTTAAGGAATTGCTTAGTTGTCCAGAAACAAGTACTGGCAGTAAAGAATATTCGAGAGAACAGCGAAAAAATAATTGTAATAATCAATATTCGGAATGTCTGTATTCTTGTTCTTGTATTCGATGCAAAAGGTTTTTCTTGATACTTAATTAAATTACAAAGAGGTTTTTTTTATATGGAAAGAAAAAATGTAAAACCTAGAAAAGAATAATAGAAATTCCTAATCTTAGAAACTAATTGGACCAAAACAAAAACAAAATAAAGATTTGATTTTTTTCGAGTGATCCAACGGTGCGATATTTTTTTTCTTCTTATTCGAGATATTATGTGAATAAATCTACTAAGAAATCTAATAAGTTAAAATTAAAAAAAAAATGGATTCGATACAAATAAATAACAAATAAATAAACTAAAAGAAGTAATCAACATAGAAATGATTTTCCAATTTTATTCCGTAGCGATTTCCGTAGTGATTTGATTCAAAGAAAGTTTCTTTGAATGAAGTTATACAACACAGTTCTTCTAATATATTAGTATTTTAATATTTATTTAATATTTCAATTTAGTTTGTTCTTTTATTTCTCAAGAGTTGTCCAATGAATCTTTGATTC